CGTAAAGACCGTGGACGAGCTCTTCTCTTCGTTCACTCGTCCGATTAAACAGTGGGGAAATCAGTACAATTTAAGTTGTTTACATTCGACAGCTTTCAATATTTTAATCTACTCATGATGCACATTTCTTAAGTCTGAGCAATCCGCTGCAAGGACGTCACAGCACGTGGGCAAGTGGAGCGGAGTGAAAACTCATCATTAATCTGGGCAGCTCATTGTTCAAATCGCGGGATTGTTTACTCAACTACATTAGCGCACGTGGCTTCCTTTCTTTTATCACAGAAACCTAAAGAAGTCAGAGGCGTAGTCTTTTTTTTAGGCTGCATAAGGTCATATGATCGCGATGGACACATTAAAATTTTCACTTGATAGGACATTTCGAATTTTTGCTCGGGTGGCGGCCGAAGCCTACTCTTATCGATTTTGGACCATCGAAGTAGAGACGGAAGTAGATGACAGAACATTGTTAGTGAGCAGGAAAGGATGTGAAAGGAGAATATTTTAGAAAAGAAATTGTAAGTCACCATCCGGATTCGAATCGGAAGCTATTGAATGAGAGGCGAACACCTTAACCTATAAAACACGAGAAACCCCTGGGGTGTAGTATAGTTTTGGAATTTTGAATCATTTCACAAAATAACTTTAATAATTGAATGTTCCAAGTTTTGTGTTTGAATTCACTTTGTGTTAAAGATTAGTTTGCACTATGCGGGGCGAGAAGTCATTCAAACACACTTTCACCACTCTTCAAAAGGTTGCGCTTCAACTCTACTCCCATTTTAATAGAGAGGAATTGAGAGGAAGGAGCTCTGTACCATGATATAGGGGATCCCAAAAAAAAAAGAACTAGTCATGCCTTAGATTTGAACAGAAGCACATTGTCGAGCTGGATTAAAGCAGCACGAAATGGGCGAAGAGGCAGACTTTCCTAGCTTAAAGAGGGCGCCTTTCCCTTTGAAGACTAATAGTTTCCATAGGCAGGTTGTCCGATGTTTGAAAAAAATGAATTTTTTTACTCTCAGAAAGTTGAAAGGATGGTTGTCCAATCATTGTGATATAAACATATCAAATAAATGACTTTGAAAAACAGTGAGACGTGTTGAGTTTACGTTCAGGAAATCAAATAGCGGGGAAAGTTTTACTGTGCGAAAGAAATCATATAGGCCAACGCTTAGACAACTAATTTCTTGCCACATTGTGTTATATTTTTTGTACGCCCCTGAATGCACACGTCTTTTCATGTTTGGATTATTCATGATAAAGAGTAATCAATTAGCCAGCCACTAATTAGCTAATTTGAATTTTCATAATGTCCTGGGTGCACATAGCTATCAATAAAAATATGGTTAAAATAATAATAATAATAATAATAATAATAAATAGCATTTGTATAGCGCATATCCCCGCTCAACAGCAGGTTCTATGCGCTTTACACTATATTATCGAACAAGTGGTTGCTGAGATATTTACTTTCAAACGTGTTCATGAATTGTCGAACGGACTATAGGATTTTTCAGCTCAATGTGTATAATGAGTTGTTTGTTATATATTTGCTAGCTTGTTTGTTTGTTTGTCTGTTTGTCTAATGGAGAGACACACATACAAAGGAGGTGGGGGGGAGAGTGAGTGAGAGAAAAAAAAGAGAGAGAGAGAAAGAGAGGGAGAGAGAGAGAGAGAGAGAGAGAGAGAGAGAGAGAGAGAGAGAGAGAGAGAAAGAGAGAGAAAGAGAGAGGGCAGAGAAAGAAAGACAAGAGACAGAGTCAGAGACAGAGTGTGTTTTGAAGAAATGTCTTTTTTGGAAACTTCCAACGTAGATTTTTGGAATTTAGACGTGCACACCGAATATAATACGATTTACTTCGTCAATATTGTATTGTCTTTTCTCAGTACAGTTTGTCCATGAACTTTGGCCTGTTGTTTCTTTTTCCAATACAGTTCCCAATACAGTTCCTCCATTAACTTTGTCCTGTTGTGTTTCCCAATACAGTTTCTCCATTAACTTTGTCCTGTCGTTTTTTCCAACACAGTTTCTCCATTAACTTTGTCCTATTGTTTTTCCTTATATAGTTTCTCCATGTGTAGAGCCATGTGTAGAGGCTGGAGGATGACGGACTGTACCAGTGTACGGTGAGCAACGCCTATTGTTTTTTCCCAACACAGTTCCTCCATTAATTTTGTCCTGTTGTTTTTCCCCCACACAGTTCCGGCCAAGATCGTGAGTCGCGGCGACAAGACAGTCAGGGCAGCCATGGGACAGACGGTGGTCCTGAGCTGTCAGATAGAGGGCTCACCCACACCGGAGCTCTACTGGCTCAAGTACCGACAGTACGTCAACTCTGATGAACGTGAGTCCAATGAACAGCAGTACACAGTAATGTGTTTCTTTCTATCAAGGCTATGTCCGTCCACTTCAGGATGTAACCCTCCAAGACCGACCTCCACTCTCGTTTTATCAGTTGTGTTCCGTTACCTACTTGTACCTGCCTGCTCTCTGATGTCATCTTGCCACCTTCTCTCAGGTCTTCCTTTTGATGTATATCTTGTTAGGTCTATTTTAAGTTCATCCTTTGGTATATCTGCGTCTTTCACTCTGCGGATGAGGCCAGCTCATTTCCATGTTTTGTCGGTGTATGCATTAAAGATATAATAATATGTCACTCCTCTTTGCTCTGGCATTTAATTTGTTTCTGTTTCTGCTTGATTGTTCATTCTTTTGTCCAGCATCTTCCTTTCCTTTGCTCCCTGTTGGATCCAAAATTTCTTTATGATACTTAGGTAGTTGGTCAGAGTTGATACCCGTAGTTAATATCTATTACTGGGACAAGGATTGAAAACGTGTATTTCTAGTGATATCAGCAGACACAGTATTACGCAATGCCAAATGATGGAATTAATGCTGCGCTTTCTGGGAGTAAGTGAGAGGATGAGTAATTTGGACTGTGAGTGTGTAAATATGTGAATGAAGAGGTAAGGGAGAAGCTTAATGGACTAATCAGGTATTAAAATAGAGTGGTTGATATTTCAATTGACACCGACGGCTCTAGTGCTATAGTCAGGCTTTTGACAGTTGCCCACAAAAGACATGAGTTAAATTCTTATGTGCGGATGTTGAATTCATTTTAATTTTAATGTTGTTTCAATTTGGGACATACGTCTGTCTACTGAGACGTAGTATCCCTGTAAGCCCGAGTTGGCTCGGACAGGCAGAACTGAAACAGCCAGCCTCCTGAGGGTTTAATTTGTGTCGAAGTGGACATAAAACATTTAAAACAGTTGAAACAATTTTTTTTTAAAACCAACCCAAAACAGCAACGACACACAAACAATCAAAAAGAACAAAAGGAAGAAAATAACAACGAATTATTGATTGTGCACGTACCACGTGGAACCTGGAGAAGAGTCACGGAAATGGATGTACAGAAAAGTGGGAAGACATGGTGTGACATCAAGCGACTCGCCCAGTATAGGGTAAGGTGGGAAGTGTTTTTTTGTGGCCTATATCCTGATCCAGGATGAAAAATGCAATGATGATAATGATGCACGTTTGTGCTCCCATTCTCCAGGTGTCCAGGTAATGGAGAACGGGTCCCTGTCCATCTCGTCACTGACCAGGCGGGACTCCGGGGTGTACACATGTCTGGCACAGAACAACGCCGGAACGGACAGCATGGACATACGGCTACGTGTGCAGGGTGAGTTGATGATGTTGTTGTAGTTGTCGTTGTTGCTGTTGTTGTCATGGTGATGCTTTTGAATGTGGTTGTTTTTGTTGTTGTGGCTGTGGCTATAGATGTGGTTGTTGTTGTTGTTGTTGTTGTTGTTGTTGTTGTTGTTGTTGTCATGGTGATGCCTTTGAATGTGGTTGTTTTTGTTGTTGCGTTGTAGTTTTGTGATTGTTTTTGCTGTTGTTGTTATTGTTTTTGTTGTAGCTGTTGGTTGTTGTGGTACTGTTGTTGTTGTTTTTGTTGTTCTTGTTGCATGATGGTGGCGGTGGTAGTATTGTAGTTGTTGTTGTTGTGCTTGGTTGTGTGCATGTGTGTGTGTCTGTGTGTATGTGTGTGTGTGTGTGTGTTTGTAAACACATTTGTAACTGCTCCCCTTCCCCCCTCACACCTCTTTCCCAAACTCCACAACCCCCAAACCCCTCTGTTTCCCCAGAACCCCCCGAGATCTACCCTAGCCAAAGCAGCTTCACCGTCCTTCAGAACCGCACGATCGTCCTACCCTGCCAGGCGAGTGGCCGGCCCCGGCCCAGGATCCGCTGGGAGAAGGACGGACAGGAGATCACCACCTCCTCCAACTACAGGCACGCGTTCGGAGGTCGCGTGCACTACATCACGTTACAGACGGGCGGCCTGGCTATTCCCCACACCAGGTAGGGGAATATGAATTTATGAAAATTTCTAGTTAATTTTGTTTCTTTTCTTGTCGGATTGTGTGTTTTTTGTGTGCTTTATGTGGTTTTGTGCTTATTTGCTTGTGTGTTTGTTTGTTTGTTTTCGTTTGGTTTTTCTGTTTGTTTGTTTGTTAGCTTGTTTGCTTGTTTGTTTGGGGGTGGTTAGTACATTTGAGTGGTGGGATGGGTATCTTTTCTGGTTTTCATTTTGTTTATTTTTTTAAATTTGTGTTTGTTTTACGACTTTTTCGACACAAGTTAGATTAATATTAAGAAGGCCAGCTTCGACTCCGCCCGTCAGTGCTGACATGGGTTGAGAGAAATTCTACATAACAGTAGAAATACCGAGATACTTGATGATGATGATGATGATGAAGATGATGATGATGATGATGATGATGATGATGATGATGATGATGGTGATGATGATGCTGGTGATGATGATGATGATGATGATGATGATGATGATGATGATGATGATGATGATGATGATGATGATGATGGTGAAGATGAGTGTGATGAAAGACGATGACGAGGATGATGATGATGATGATGAATCACGATGACGATGATGTCAGAACCGAACACTTCTATCTATTCCCCTCTCCAGAGCCGAGGATGCAGGAACCTACACTTGCGTGGCCTACAACAATGCCGGAGAGACCAAACAGCAGGTCTCACTGACCGTCCAGGGTGGGTTATATTCCAACTTTACAATGTATATTCTTAGGGGGGGGGAGCTGGTTTTAAATTGACGATTTTAGGTCAATTTATTTTATCTGGACTTTTTACGTATTATAATACTTCAACTACTCGTAAATCTGAAAAAAATGCTTACTCTTTATGTTACAATCGTTATCTTTCAGATTGTATGTCCTGTAACTGTTAATTTCATTATTATTTAACAAAATATACTATCTGTTTTTTTCCCTCAAAACTTCAATATCTGATAGTTTTTCTCATCTACTTTTTAAATTTTCTTTGATTCCAATGAAATTGTCAGGGCTTTTTATTCACACCATAACCTAACTTTATACAAGTGGAAAATCAAATCGATGCGCTCATTAGTGAGTTACATGGATGGTTATGTAATCGAGTTCAGAGGCATGAAGGGGTAGGTCAGTTATCCATCTCTAATTTTTTTCCTATCCAAGATATCCAAGATCCCAACTGCATAAAATTTAGTATTGAGTATATCTATTAATGAACTAAATTTGAACAAGTTTGGTTGATAAATAAAAAAAACATTCTTTTTACTTTTATGAACGTTGCTTATTTTCAATATGGTCGCCGTTACCATGGTAACCGTAGACTTAAACAAAAAAATTAAAATTACATTTTAGAGATGTTTTCTTATTTATCTCCATGTTATATGGCTTTTTCTGAAAGGTCATTGTTACCAAGATAGGTTTATAAACCATCCCCCACCCCCCTTTCAGGAAAAGGGAGTTAAGGTGTTTTGTAAACAAAACTTATGTCACTGTTTTTTCACTATTTTCCTTATGGTCGTGTATGGTTGAGGAAAAGTGTGGGTAGGGTATGTCATGAAAACAAAGCTCTCAGGGTTGTTCACTTAACTAGGTTTTTAGTTGAGGGGTGGAGGGCAATTTTATTTTCATTTCAATTGGAATCCGATGCTTTCCTCTGATCTCGACGGGCGTGTCTTTAATTTTTTTTAAACACGAGTCAACCTACTCACTACATGATATGAAAGTGCTGTGGACAAACCGTTATGCCTTTTGAAGTCATTGGAAGGTTTTGTTATTTGGGTTTTTCATCCCTGTATGTTGAGACATTTTCAACAAAACCAGTTACATGTTTAGAACATAACAGTGTCACTATTTTATTTTGTCCTCTTTCCTTACCCCCTCCCTCCACACACACACACACTCACCACAACCCCCTCAGTCCCGCCCATGATCCAGTCTGCCGATAGACAGTACGTGGTTTCCGTGGGCGAGAGAGTGGAGCTACCGTGCGTCACTTCCGGCTCACCTGCCCCCACTGTGACGTGGACCAGAGACAGACGGCGCATCGACTTCCGGGACGCCAAGTATATCCTGCAGTCTGATGGCACGCTCGTCATCCAGGAGATTCAGGTTCGAGAACTTTCTTTCACAGCGTGTTTTCGTGTCTGCTTGAGACAGAGAGAGAGAGAGAGAGAGAGAAAGAGAGAGAGAGAAAGAGAGAGAGAGAGAGAGAGAGGGAGAGAGAGGGAGAGA